CTCTTCGAAAACCCGGACTTCTTTCAGAGCTTCGAGGTGGAGAAGGGGACCTACCTGGAGGCCGTGCTCTACGATGAACGGCACGGCGGGCAAGGAAAAGGACTCTGGAGGATCAATGGGTCCGAACAAAAGACAAAAGATGGGGTATGGCTGTCGGCTAAGCTCATCGCCGTGAGCGACGCCCACTTGTACGGGTGGCTCACTGAAGGGCCGGGAGAGGCCATGAAGAGGAACTTCAGGCTTCACCTTTGCATCACGCCTGAGAAGGATTGCCCGAAGTGTAAAAAGAAGAAGGATGTGGAGTTCCACACTGATGACTTTCGTTCCCTGGATGCTGGGGACGTGGTTGATTCCAAAGTGGGCTGGCTCAAGTCGCCCCCAGCCCAAGATGATGTCGAGGTCGAGGTGGCGAAACTCACAGGCAACGCCCCGCGGGGCACATGTGGATGACACAATCACTGGGGCAAAGGCCCTACCTATGATCGAGCCATTGCAGCGTTGCGCAGCAGGTTTCCCTTTCGCAAATGGCGGCAGGGACAAGTGAATTTCTTGGAGTTCAGTATTGTCAGGATCCTGTTACAAAAGAGATCTCATATCACCAGAAAGATCACCTATCAAGCTGTCCAAAGAAAGAGCACGCCAGCATTGGCAGCCTGCCACTGAGAAGGAAATCTCTGCACTGAGAGCCGTGAATGGAGCTCTAGGTTGGTTGTCCAGTCAGTCCAGACCGGGTTTGTCGGTTCAAACTTCGTTATCTCAGCAATGTTTTCCCAATCCTACGGTTGAGCACCTTCTTCAAGCAAATCAGGCCGTAAGGCGAGCTCGACAACATAGTGATTTGGAAATCAGGAAATCAAAGTTCCCTACATCAAACCACAGGATTTGACCGTTTGTTTTTGGTCTGATGCAGCCTTTGCAAATGCAGTCAATCATAAAACACAAGGTGGTTGGTTGATGGCCCTCACAGATAAAAAGTTTGCCGATGGAAATGACAGTCCGGTGAGTTTTGTAGGCTGGAAGTCATACAAGCTGCCCAGAGTAGTGTCCTCGACCTTAGCAGGCGAAGCACAGTGCTTCTCCAGTGCATCAGGCATAGCTGAGTGGTGCATGCTAATTTTGTCAGAGGCTCTGGATGGTTCGTTTTCCCTGCAAAATGTTGACGAGGTGTTGCAACGTCGCAGTCCAATTGGCATGAGTGATTGTAGGTCTCTTTACGATCACTTAATAACACTGGGATGTGGAGGAACCCTAGATGACAAGCGTGTTGCCATAGATGTTGCAGTTATCCGTCAATCCATAGCTCGCAGTCGCCTTCAACCCCGTTGGGTGCCAACGGATAGAATGGTTGCAGACGGCCTCACCAAGGACAAGGGAGAACCTTTGGATCTTTTGAGGTCAGTCTTTAGGAATGCCCGATATCAACTAGCTGATGAGAAAGAGGCGCGCATTCGAAGACAAGAGCTTGGACGTGCCAGAAAGGAAAATAACCAACAACAGACACGCCATGTGGAAGATTCAGCCGAGCCAGCAAATGCATGTCTTTTTGTTTGGTGAGTGTTTTTGGAAACCGAGTGAATGTAGGTCACTGCTTTTGGCAGTGTAATGGTAACATTCCTGCGGGTTTGGTGTTTCCTGCAGCAGGCCAAGTGAATTCATTGTGATCGTCAACACAGAAGATTTGCCAGTTTTGATGCATGTCCATGTTTTCCAATGGACGCCAGCCTTTTTCCAAGCTCCGTGTCTGAGATTTTTAGGTAGAACCGAGCCACGTTTCAACAATTTTTGTGTGACAAGTTTCTCACAACTTTGCCATGCGTTCTCCAATGTTCCCGTGACAGCACAGGAGATGCAGCTTGTGCGAGACATTCTCGCCCGCATGGAAGCTCAGGGAACTCCCATGCCTCCAGCTCTGTGGAGCTCAGGCCACCTTGGTGCGATGAGTGATGGCAGCAAGCGCTTGCGAGACCAGGATGATTTTCCATCTTCCGAAGATGAGCTGCTGGGCGAAAAGTGCACTGGTCGAACCAGTGAGGACTTTGAGCTGATCCGAGATGCTCCCAAGTCAAGTGCCCAGAAGCCAGTGGTTCCCTAGATTCAGCCGCCGACCAAGCTGCAGCTTCCCGAAGGTGTGGAGTCAGTGGAGAAGTGGGGTGCAACAATTTGCGCCTTGCCAGAGGTGAAGGAGGAAGCTCCAACATACCATGAGATCGGCACCCTTAGCAAGTTCAAAGAATACCGCAACTAGGCGGTCCAGAAAGGAGCCTCAAAGGGTCCCCGCGGCAATGACCTGCACAATTATCTCATTGTCAGCGGAGCAGTTGATGCCGAGACCGGTGTGTTGATCCCTGGTACCAACCAGATGCGCCGCTATCGCCAGTGATCCCTTTCAAGATCTAGCTGCATGTGTTAGGTTGAGTGAAACCTTTGTCCTTCCCAATGCCGAGATGGTTTTTCACTGCAAATGTGCCAGTATAAACGGACTGTCCGTATGCGTCCTTTTTGTACTCCTTTGCGAGGAAAGAGGAGTTAAGAAGCAGTGCCATTCCATTGGGCCAGGTGCTACAGCAGCATGGACCGAATGCTGCAGCCGACTTGCTCATTCCAGGAGGAAAAAGCCGCAAGCAGGCTTTTGTGGGCACAGGGTTGCCACCTTTTCCATTAGGAGTTGGAAACCAGTTTATCCCTTTTAAATACATATATATATATATGCACATATCTACAATAACCAACTTGTGAAGTGCTAGTTATGTTCACCAAAGAAGCAATGCCGACCTGGCAGCACCGAACGTAAGGATGGCCAACTGGTTTTTTGGTCATTGAGAGAGATGAAATTGAGATGGTTTGGCTACAGGTTGATCGAGGGGACAGGTCTAAAAATGGAGATAGGCCGATACACCATGGGATGAGTTGGGGTACCCTGGGTTTTTTCCAAACACGTGGATCATTGAAGCTGCCCTCCACTACCGCTTCAAGGCCAGCAAGAGCAAATTCTGACAAAATCAGACCCTTCCCAATAGTTATATGTTATGGTATCATTTGTTCATAGATATCCGTCATCAAACGCATTGATGAAACTATTCCAGTATAAACATGTGTAAACCATTTTCTATGCGATTAAGATCGTGTCACCTACACTTGTGGGGAACTCTTCCACCTTTTTTTGAGTCATTGGTCAATGAAACCGATCCAATAAAACCAGCGATTTTTCAAATTTCAGCGCGTTCCGACTTTGACGAAACCTGCACTGGCCATCGCCATGTCATCCTTCCTGCTGCTGGCGCTGCTGCGCAGCGTCGGGGCAGAGACCTGCGCGCGCCACCCGCGCCACGGCGATGGATGGACAGGGATGAGTTTCAGACAAAGTGACATGTGTGTATGTGCATGTGTTATAAATGTTGTCATATATATATATATGCGCATATATGCATTTATAATACATGCATATATTTATAATTTGGCAATATTAGTAGAAACAACCAGCTACAAGTGCGGGAAGGGTATATCGAAGGTCATAACATCATCGAAAACAAATAACAAAAACTAGACGACGGATGGCCCGAGAGCGTAGAGGAGCAGGGTCTTCTCTTGTTAGTATGGAGACACCATATTAGAAACAATATATTAAAGATGTGTTACAGGCAGTCGAGAAGAGTAGTATTAAGACAAAATAGCAGAAGTGCAAGACAATAGTTTGCATCGCAAACACTTTACACTTTTAACAAAGACCCTTTTACACACAGGAGCTTTTACACACAGAAGCGTTTACACGCAGACGCTTTTACACACAAAAACTTTTACACACAGAAGCTTTTACACATAGACGCTTTGACACACAGACACTTTTACACACAAACACTTTTACATACAAACACTTTTACACACAAACACTTTTACACACAGACGCTTTTACACGCAGTAGCTTTTACACCCAGATGCTTTTACACACAGAAGCTTTTGCACACAAACGCTTTTACACACAGACGGTTTTACACACAAGCGCTTTTACACACAGACACTTTTACACACAGACGCTTTTACACGCACAGAAACTTGTACACACACCCACTTTTACACACAGGCGCTTTTACACACAGACAGTTTTACACACAGACGCTTTTGCACACAGACACTTTTACACACAGACGCTTTTACAGACAGACGCGTTTACACACAGACGCTTTTACACACAGACGCTTTTACACACAGCCGCTTTTACACACAGAAGATTTTACACAACAGAGTTTTTTACACACTGACGGCTTTACACACAGACGCGTTTACACACAGACGCTTTTACACACTAACACTTTTACACACAGACGCTTGTACACACAGACACTTTTACACACAGACGCTTTTACGCACAGACGCGTTTACACACAGACGCCTTTACACACAGAAGCTTTTCCACACAGACCCTTTTACACACAGACGCTTTTACACACAGACTCTTTTACACACAGACGCTTCGCAGAAGCTTTGTACACACAGACGCTTTTACACACAAACGCTTTTACACAGACGCTTTTACACACAAACACTTTTACACACAAACACTTTTACACACAGAGACTTTTACACACAGACGCTTTTACACACAGACGCTTTTACACACAGACCCTTTTACACACAGACGCTTTTACACACAGAGACTTTTACACAAAAAAGCTTTTACACACAGAAGCTTTTACACACAGAGGCTTTTACACACAGAAAATTTTACACAACAGACTCTGTTACACACTGACGGCTTTACACACAGACGCTTTTACACACAGACGCTTTTACACACAGACGCTTTTACACACAGGCGCTTTTACACACTAACACTTTTACACACAGACGCTTGTACACACAGACACTTTTACACACAGACGCTTTTACGCACAGACGCGTTTACACACAGACGCCTTTACACACAGAAGCTTTTCCACACAGACCCTTTTACACACAGACGCTTTTACACACAGACTCTTTTACACACAGACGCTTCGCAGAAGCTTTGTACACACAGACGCTTTTACACACAAACGCTTTTACACAGACGCTTTTACACACAAACACTTTTACACACAAACACTTTTACACACAGAGACTTTTACACACAGACGCTTTTACACACAGACGCTTTTACACACAGACGCTTTTACACACAGACGCTTTTACACACAAACGCTTTTTACACATAGGCTCTTTTACACACAGACGCTTTTACACACAGACGCTTTTACACACAGAGCCTTTTACACACAGACGCTTTTACACACAGACGCTTTTACACACAGACGCTTTTACACACAAACACTTTCACACACAGAGGCTTTTACACACAGAAGCTTTTACACACAGACGCTTTTACACACAGAGCTTTTACACACAGGCGCTTTTACACACAGACGCTTTTACACACAGACGCTTTTACACACAGACGCTTTTACACACAGACGCTTTTACACACAGACGCTTTTACACACAGACGCTTTTACACACAGACGCCTTTACACACAAACACTTTGACACACAGACACTCTTACACACAGACGCTTTTACACACAGACGCGTTTACACACAGACCCTTTTACACACAAAAGCTTTTACACACAGTACCGAGTGCCGGGTAGGAGAAAAGGGGGACAAGGCGAGTCCGGCTGTAACAATGAATATAGCGGCACACAAGTTAAACGAACACAGATAGGAAAAACACACCGAATTAGGAAACTTTAACCCCAGCCACACAGAAGCTTTGTACACACAGAAAAAGTCGCAATTTTACCTCAGTTTTTGGCGATCGACCCTCATTTCGTGCGAAAGGGCTGCAACGGGAACCCGGAAATCGCAATTTTGCTTCAGTTTTTGGCGATCGACCCTCATTTCGTGCGAAAAGGTTGCAACGCGAACCCGGAAATCGCAATTTTACCTCAGTTTTTGACGATCGAACCTCGTTTCGTGCGAAAGGGTTGCGCGGGACCGGTGGAAATCGCAATTTTACCTCAGTTTTTGACGATCGAACCTCGTTTCGTGCGAAAGGGTTGCGCGGGACCGGTGGAAATCGCAATTTTGCTTCAGTTTTTGGCGATCGACCTTCATTTCGTGCGAAAAGGTTGCAACGCGAACCCGGAAATCGCAATTTTACCTCAGTTTTTGACGATCGAACCTCGTTTCGTGCGAAAGGGTTGCGCGGGACCGGTGGAAATCGCAATTTTGCTTCAGTTTTTGGCGATCGAACCTCGTTTCGTGCGAAAGGGTTGCGTTTCGTGCCGTCTCGTTGGCACTGCCCCTGCCCCCGCCTTCAGAAGAGACATAGAAAAGAAGGAGAGGGCAAGAGGGGCAAGAGGGGCAAGAGGGCAAGAGGAGAAGATGTGAGATGAGAAGATGTGAAGATGAAAAAATGTGAGAAGATGTGAGAAGATGTGAGAAGATGTGAGAAGATGTGAGAAGATGTGAGAAGATGTGAGAAGATGTGAGAAGTTGTGAGAAGATGAGAGAAGATGTGAGAAGATGTGAGAAGATGTGAGAAGATGTGAGAAGATGTGAGAAGAGATGAGAAGATGTGAGAAGATGAGAAGATGTGAAGATGAGAAGATGTGAGAAGATGTGAAGATGAGAAGATGTGAAGATGAGAAGATGTGAGAAGATGTGAGAAGATGAGAAGATGAGGAGAAGATGAGAAGATGAGGAGAAGATGAGGAGATGAGGAGAAGATGAGAATATGAGGAGAAGATGTGAGGATGAGAAGATTTGAAGATGAGAAGATGTGAAGATGAGAAGATGTGAAGATGAGAAGATGTGAAGATGAGAAGGTGTTTTATACCCCCACTATTGGAAGAACCCTGCGCTCAGACGCTCTCGGGAAAAACATCACACACAGATGCTCATCAAGAACGGGTTGAACCATGTTGAACCGACGTGAGGCAAAAACAGAGTGGATCAGAGTGGCAACATGTGCACACTGAATACCCAGCAGCCTTATTCAAGCAGTCAAGCAAAACTCAATATCTGGTTGATTTAGTTACTCTTGTTTCACTGATGGCACAATCATCCTATATTTGGATTCGGGCGCTTGTGGTCGTGACAATTTTGTTGTTTTTGGTGAAGATGCTTTTGGCTGATCAAATTGATCCATTTGGCCATCGCGTCCACAGTGCACCGATGCAAGCTCAATCCCAACTGCAATCGCAGCATTCTTTTCCTTCAACGCCGCCTTCTTCTCCTTCAACTTCAACGCCGCCTTCTTCTCCTTCACCT